TCCTGCCTTACAATAGTTGGACTCAAACAAGAGTTGCGAAATAGAGCTAGATCGAACCTTCTTAAATTATTTAGTCCTCATAATATGTAACTTAATATATTCGTTTACTAGTTAGTAAAAGATAAATAGGACTCCTGAAAGCACAAAGCAAACAACATTCGAGAATTGAGTAACCCAAACCAAGCATATCATATCCAGGCTATCATATCACTAATTAGTCAGTACTATCATATAGTTCGATAAGCACATATAGCAGGAATATAAGGCATATTCCTAGATCCTTAGCCTTAATCTAGCATGCAGTTCTCATACAATAGGCAGATAATGATGGGTTTTGTACATAAGAACTTTCATATGTGCACATACAAACCCTAATGCTTGGATCTAGGTTTCTCTAATTAAACATGCATTGAATCCAAGACTCCTAATGGCTAATTAGGTATATGAACAACACAAAACCAGAGTTACAATCATACCTTGAAACACTTGTTTGATCTTCTTGTTCTTGGAGCTTTAGAGTCAAAATTGTCACTCCTCTAATGGCTTACAAACACCAATTAGCAAAGAGAATGATTTGAGAGAGAGGAGAGAGGAGGAAATCAGCCAGGGTATCCTTGCTGTAGAGGAGGTGCCGATTTCCTATCCCAAGGGGTCTATTTATACTTGTAAGGCCCCTAGGGTTTCACCCTTAAACCCTAATTGGATAACTTAGACTCTAAGCAATCCCAATCCCTTCCATAGATAAGCCATGGACGATTTTATGGCTATCCTTAGCCCTAGAAATCGTCCACCCTCTTTCATAAAAGGATTTACGGCCCAAAGTGTAACTATCAAACAATTGACAGTTTATACCCTTTTATTTAATTAATCTCTTTAAGTCACTAAATTAATACTAATTAATCTATGACTTATATTAACTAAATAACAATAACATTATTCATTATATTATTCTCATAATATATTAATAATATCTATTCTCTCATAATAAATCATCCTACCAAGTTGCTATGGTGAAGGAAACCCAAAAGGACCATGCACAATCGGGTCAAATACTTGCCTAATATAGTTACAGCCTTAGACACTATTCCAACAGATAAGGCATCCTTCCTAGATCCTTAGCCCTAATCTGGCATAGATCTAGTTCTCATAATCATGTCATATATCATAGTAAACATGTATGGGTATCTTGGGGAAAGCTTACTTATGCTTGATCGATTGCACACATCACACTACTTGTTCTTTCTCTTTTCAAAATCTTTTTGTAAAAACGGTTTTTCTTTTAAAAAATTTATACCAATTCCTTAGTTTGAGATCAGACACACCCGAAATGTGTTCGGATCCCTGAAACCTATGCTCTAATACCAACTTGTAACATCCCAAAATCCTAGACCAAAAAGTCGATTTTTAATTTAATAATTCATAAAACAGATTATTGAAAGAATGATTGAGTTGTCCCATATCATAAAAACCGAAAGTCATATATCTCAAAACAAATCATAATAATGTCAGAGAACGAATCCCAAGAACATCATAGTGTGGAAAATAATGGTGTGATGCGATGCAGTCATGCTGACTCCTTTCCCTTCGAAGAAAAAGTACCTGAAGCCAAAACTGAAACCGTAAGTACAAAGCTTAGTGAGTTCCCCCATCATACCACATACCATACAATAACATACTGCGTAACATATCTGGGTATTGGCCTACCCTTTTGGTCTCTTTCAACCAGTAACCGCCTAACATATTGGGGTGCTGGCATACCCCTTCGGTCTCTTTTAACCGGTAACTGCCTAGCATATTTGGGTGTTGGCCTACCCCTTCGGTCTCTTTCAACCTATATCCAGGGATTGTTTCACCTCTACCACTACCACATTATATCCTAGCATATACATACAGTTCTCCTATTGCTTATATATGGGTGTTGTCCTACCCCTTCGGTCTCTTTCAACTGGTAACTGCCTAACATATTTGGGAGCTAGCCTACGCCTTCGGTCTCTTTCAACTGGTATCCAAGGACTATCCAACCCCTCCTACCACTATCACATAATATCATAGCATATTAGCACATACATCATAACAGATGGTGGGATACCAGGCAATTATCACAAAAACGATTAACTCAGTTATAATGAACTACTAATGGGTTGATATTGGTGCCTTCGACTTACTTCTACTAGAAGGTAACTCACCTCAAATGCAATGAAGTATCTGAATTGTTGAGTCATCTCCTAGACTCATCAAGTTTGCTCAGTAACAGAAAAGGTCGGGGGACCACGATCCAACTCGCCGAGTCGGAAGAACAACTCGTCAAGATCTCTTAGTCTAAATCCATTCAGTCACTTCCAATCGAGTTCAATGCTTCCAAACCATAGATATGGTCCCCTGGGCTGATATATCATGTAAAGTTGCTAAATTTACGTCCATGTATGGTGTCATGAAGGTAAAAACACAAAATCTAAGCTTTATAAGATGTCTATGGCATGGAGAAGGGCCAAGACTTGATAAAGCTAGCAACTTCAAGTCTCTTTAGGCTATGGACGTCTAGATTTGAAGTCATAACCTTAAGACATGCACATATCCAAGAATAGACCCTAAACAAGCTACTAAAGACCCTTAAACTTCTTAAAGAAGGGATCTATCAAATAAACAACCAATTCTCGACTTTGTACCTTAATATGGCAGCCTCAACAGAGAAATACATTGATCCAAAACCTCTCCCTTGAACCAAGCACCTTTAACTTCAACTCCTTTAAGAAAGCACCAAGGAAACACTCTCTTTACACTCACAAACACTCCAAATGGTCTAGAATCACGTATTAGGGTTTTACTAGACCGAGGGGGCAATGAGGGAGGCCACAGTTGTTATCAAGAAGCAAAATCCTGAAAATTAGGGTTTCATTCTGACATCCCTACTTGTCGAGTAGACTTTATAATCTGTGTCCAAAAAAATCCATTCCTACTCGACGAGTTTTGGACCTCCAACTCATCGAGTTCTTGCACAAAACTAAATAAATCTTAATTAAAATTCATTCCAAGAACCTGGCGTTACATGCATAATTTACATTGTTTATGTACTCTTTGACACTTCAAATTAATGTCAACCAAATTGAATATTTTTAGTTATATTTCGATGTTTATCATTTTATATGAATTTTGAATACATTATTTACTGGTACCACGTATAGATATTTATTGCTTGTACATTTATTGCTTGTACATGTAACTTAATATAACTTAATATATTTCATATGTAAACTTGTGGAATTCCACAATACAATTGTAAACATATATACAAGTATTGGGATATAGACGAATTGTACGGATAAATACAAATGTTACCACTTCTTGCAAGTACGAAGCTTCCTTAGACTTAAGCATAGTTTTCATGGACTTAGATTTATAATTATTGAACCATATTTTATAACTTCCTCATATGCCTTTAGTAATAGTATTTAGTGACAAAGATAAGAGCGTGCGTTTAAACTTAATTGGTCATATTAGTTAAGGCTTAACTACACTTAGTTTCTTTATAATTCTACCCAGTACAATTCAACGTGTATTTTAAGTAATAATACTCAATTATAAATTTAGTATCATGTAATTCATATAAGTTGAAACGCTAATTGACCACCTACTTATTCCATATTCATGGATTGAAGAAGTTTGATAGAAATTAATGTGTTCATCATTCAAACGCGATGAATAGTTTAGTGGTGTCGTTGGTTTCTAATATGTTTCCTTGCATTTTAACCTAATACCAGGAGTGTATATATAATTTTAATGTGTTTTCATTACATACTTAATGTCTGGTTTTGTATTCATATAATTAGCTTGGTTAGCATATTTGTATAATGAGAATGTTTTCATTTCAAATGTTAATGATATTTTCAATATTGAGTTGTTAGAAATAAAATCATGTGCTTGTGAGTTAACCAAGTGACTCAAGTTTGAATCGTGAGTGTTTCAATGATAGGAGGTTTGTTTATTTTAGATGTGCGAAACAATTCTTTATTTATTCTGAAATCTTTCACCTCTTATAAACATAATATGAACTATGATGTATCTATGTTACTTATAATGGAATTTTAAGCATTCTCCGTAACTTTGTAAATTTTGTTTATTTTTGATGGTTATCGGTTAACTTTATTTCTTCAAAACTTCAAGAACTCCATTATTTCGAGATGTCACACTTCATCATAATCAGATTTTTACGAACATTCTTATTAATTTTAGGAATTTGAAAATAAACATAACTATTGGTGAATTAGTAGCTCTACATTTCGTACATCATTGTTAATTTTATTTATTTGACCATAATTTCTTGGATTTTCAAGGCTTTATGTCCATTTTTGTACCCGAACAACAATGGTGTGTTTGACAAAAATAGTTGTTAGTTGAAAGCAGGTAGCGGTTAACTGGTAGCGGATAGCAAGTAGCGTGTAGCTAGTAGCTGGTAGGGGGTAGCTGTAGTTTTTCTTTGTTATATGAATGTTTGTCAAAAATAGCTTGAAGCTTTTGAAATATATAAAACTATATAAAAAAATAATTGATTAAAAATAAATAAATATATAAATATATTTTTATAATTATGGAAATTGATTTCAAAAGCTAATGAGCGTTTTGTTAAACGCTACATGTAGTAGCTTTTAGAATCAGAACGTTTTGTTAAAACTAAAAGCTAAACGTTCGTACTGTCAAACAAAACTTTTTGTTTAAATTAAAACGTTTTATCAAAAGCTAAAAGCTAGAAACTTCAAAATGATTCCAAAAACTCTTTGGCACGCCCCAAATTGGTTTGTACAGGTGATTATTCCCTTTGACATGAGCCTAGTTTATATTAGAGAGTTTAATAATGATATGAATACAAATAAATCTATGGTTGACCATGCTCGACTAATTAATATACGGACTTGATTACAAATATAAATCTATGGTTGACCAAAAATGCACATCATCCATGACGCGATCCGGGAAAGAATTCTTAGAGATGAGATTGTCGTCGGTCAAGCCGAAAGGTGAGAACATGGTCTCACTTGATAATACGACACTATTGTTGTCCGGTAAAAAGAGCTGATCAAACCATAAATTTCCGGCCAACTCAGAAAACTGTGGTGTAGCGTCGTCACAAGGAACTTCATAATCTGATACACTCAACGAACATTGTGACGATTCAGTTGTTGAAGAAGATGATGGTAATTCAGATGTTAAGACTGCCAATAAAATTTCAACTTCCTGTGGGGTTTTTAAGTTGGGTTTTTTCACCTGTTGACATCCTCTGGGAGTAGCTTTAAAAGGTTCAAGGGTTTCAAATTGTTCGTTCTTTAACACAGTTTGATCTTTTCGGACCTGGTTTTTCAGATGTGTGTGCCAATGGTTTTTTATTTCATTGTCGCTTCTTCCAGGCAATTGTGCAGCCATCGTTGACCATCTTTAGATATAACAACCAAATTTCATTAATCAACAACAAGTCCACTATTAAATAAACATAATCTAGGCATAAAAATTGTTTGAACTTACTTGTTTCCAAGCTTCTTATGTAAACCAACAATGACATCTTCTTCTTCTTTTGTAAAATTTCCACGTTTCATGTTTGGGCGTAGATAATTCATCCATCGCAGCCTACAGCTTTTCCCACATCTAGACAAACCTAAACAAGAAAAGGGAAGAACAATATAAAGTAAGACAAAAGCATTAATCATATAAAAACTTGTTATATTTTTCGGAAGTGGGTCTAACCAGCTAACTTGGGAAGTTCTCGCCAGTTAGAATGGCCGTATATCTGTATGTAAGCTCTTAGTTTGTTGTCTTCCTCTTTGCTCCATGCACCTTTTTTGATTCCGTTTTTATCAAAACATGGAGCCCTCACCATCTTCTTGACTTCTTGTCTTCGATCTTTCAGTTCTCTTCAGACCTTTTCAGTGGCTACTGCCTAATGAAGACTTAAGCTACTGGATCCAAATAGTCTTATATATATACCTACAAATTAATTACCAAAACGTGTATGGAAGTAAATAATTAATTTAAAAAGACCATAAAAACTTCTTACCTTTTTCTTCCCTTCAAACGTTCAAGGGAAGACTAAAAAGTACGCTCTTGCTGATCTGATTAAACATATACTATATTATATTAGCGTTGTTTTCGAAGTACTGATATTATTAAATGAATGTCTCAACACTTCTTGCCGAGTTGATAAAAAGAATAAGCGTAAATTACACAAGTGGTACCTACGGTTTAGGGTCTCCTTAAAATTATTTTTTTATTTTGGGATGCTCCTTTGAATTTGGTTTTTTATTAATTTGATCTCTAATCAATATAAACCGAGTGATTTGTATTTTTTTTTTATCGTTTTATATTATTAGTTAATTGAAAAATATTAATGAAACGTATTATAAATGTATTAATTAAGTAAATAAATAGGTCCATTTCAATACAAAAACCCAAACCATCCCGACCCCTCTTTCCTTGCTTGTGTTCACTGACCAGGAAACCACATCCGACGATCATCACCACCAAGCTCTCTCTTTCCTTGCTTGTGTTCACTGACCGGGAAACCACATCCGACCATCATCACCACCAAGCTCTGACCACTACCACCATAACTGACCTCCAAAAATCCATTCAGGAAATCAATCACTTATATAAACATGCATAGACATAGGCACAAAACCTACAACATCTACTATCTTCAGAAATATGTGAGAAACATCTACTTCTCCACACACCAACAACCACTTGTAAATCTGAAACCCAAACCATGATACCTAAAAAAAACAAGAGTATAGGACACAGGGGTATGAAAGGAGATTTGAGAAAAGGTCAGGTGGGGGTGGGACATAAGAACGAGTTTAGTTTGTCGAGATAGATCTGGTTCGTCGGAAAGAGATTCGAGAACCAGTAGATGAAAAGAAGGTTGTAACACCTGGTTTTCCGGATCGGCTCGATTTAAGGTTTAAAGGAATCAAGACATGGTTTTGGGATAAAAAAACCAAGGCTCACGAGGTGACCATTGAAGGGTCACGACCTGAGAAGGGATTTAATGAAGATTCTGATTTAACTGAGCTCATGACATGAGCATTAAGAGCTCACGAATTGAGGTACGTTGCAGACCAAATCCACGATCTATTAGGGTTTCCATCGTATTTAAACCCCATAAACTCAGTAAAAACCTAACCCTAGCCTCTCATTGTGTTTCTTGAGCTTTTTGTGGAGTTTTGGAGGTTTGAAGTGGAACAGATCACCATTGAAGCATAGTTCCAGCTTGGAAGCTTCATTTACAACCTTTAGCTACCATTCTAGACCAATGCGAGTAATCAAGATTGAAGATTTATGTTTCCTTACTGCTAGATCTAAGGTTTTATGAATATTTATCAAGAATAAACAAAAAATTCAACAAGAATAAACAAAAAATAATTATTATTCAATATAAAAAAATTCAACAAGAATAAACAAAAAAAAAACGAAAAAAATGTGAAATACGATTTTAGCAATATATAATCCATATTTTAACAAGAAAAAAAGAAAAAGAAGAGGTTAGAAGAGGTAGAAAGAGGTAAAACAAGTGTTTTGACAAGAAAAACATGCGCAAAGGTTTTTTAATTTGAAGATTTCTGAAAAACAAACAACTACAATATGAAAAGTGTTGCGCGTGTGCTGCGCCGCGCAATAATAATATGTTTGGAGAAGTTTTTTTTTCCAAATAACAAACAGCACCTAAGTCTTTGAGAAGTTGATTCTGCCCTAAAATCGCAACCAAACAAGGAACAAGAAGTAAGACCAAATCAATCCTCTAAACCTACATGATCCTAGATGTATACAATCATAACTTTCAAGACATGGGTTACCTATAAGGGTCAACTGAGTACTTATATAACACATACTTCAAATAAGGCACATATAAAACATATAAACACATAAGCACATAAAAATCATAGGCAAATATGCATCATAAACACATAAAGATTCTAATAGGAAATTTTATCATATATACATTACATATATCTTAACACTTTCTAGCATATAACGTTACATAAGACTTTTGTGAGTAAGTGGCTCACTACCCATTGAGCTCTGATTGATTGCATGCTTCAAATTCTCTTTTATTTTTCAAACATTAACTTTTCAAAAAAGTTGACTTTTAGAATTCATATTTGAAACTTTTTTGAAAATTTTTGAGCCTTGGTTTGAGTTTAAACACAAAAGTGCATGTCTAAATCCCTCAAACCATGCTCTGATACTAACTTGTAACGATCTATTTTTTTATATTTAAAATATAATATTAAATCCTCATAAAATAAAACCAGTTGTTACCCTTTGAAAACTACAATTAAGATTATCAAAAACTTCCAACCATACTTATAAAATATTATTTGATAGAAAACATTAGCGGAATCAAAAACATCCCAACTTTAAATACATAACATTTTTTATATAAGTCTTCGAGAGAATGTCGTCTGCAGTCATATCGGCTTCATTTCTTTATTAAAAGTTGATGATCCTGAAAAATATTAAATAACAACGGGTAAGCATAACGCTTGGTGAGCATACACATTACTCTACCATTATCTAGTTCACTTACTTACACATAGCATAACATATCACATTAAACATAACAAAACATAAACATTCCTAGCACATACTCTTGGTACCAACCATAACCTTGTTCTCCCTTGCGGGTACTACCCCTCTTACCCCCTAAATAGGGATAAGAGATAAGAGTGCAGTTTGCCTCACTAGAGGACAAACCACATTCTGCCTTACATTATTCACTATACCGGATTAGGGTATTCGTGAACAAACTTAAAACAAGTAATGCCTACATAGTAGGAGAGTTAGTGTAACTCACCTCTCGTGGTAACTTGAAATACACTAGATGCAATAGCCAAGTGAAGTTTCTTCTCTTTTTACACCAACAACATAATTATAACACTCACTTAACATTTGCTTCATAACAATACTTTAAAATACTTATATTTGTATTACTTTAACTTTTATTCGATTACATTGTTCTGTTCGGTACATGATTTCTTAACTTTAAATTCATGATTAGGTTCCTATAAAATTTTATTCATATATTTCCCTCTTTTATCTTTCTGGTAATATAAGAATCTCATCCTAAGGATTTTTGGTTGATTTTCTATCAATTTTAAAATTTAGCCAACTTGAGTTGTTGCTTTCTGGACTTACATGCAAAGATGGTAACTTTTACTCTACGAGGATCAAGATTTAAATCTTATGAAAAAAATCATGGAATACAAAACATTATTTCCTCAGCATCACATCTGACATTTCATGAATCGGAGTTTTGTAGAATTAAATATGCACTTAACAAGTTGATGTAACATTTCAGCAGATTTGTGGACCACTCTTCACTCTTTGAATAAACTGTACAAATATAATACGAATTAAATAAAGAAATTTATACGGAGGAAACTAGACATTCGTATCTAACTAAATAATTTGGAATTTTGGCATTTAGAGTTCTAGAGAATTTATTATGATTTTTAGAAGACAACACATGAAATCTGTGACAACATAGACCCTTCTCAGAAAAATGACAATGTTACCCATCAAAGGTTTAGAATTTGGAAAAGTGATTCAAAGTTTGAACAAACTAGACATACTAAGATTTCTAGAAATAGTCTCATGATTTTTAGATGTTCGGATTGCCTTGAGCGGATTTTAGAAGTTGAAGGGCAGAATTCGAAAAACATGCTATTTTAGCTTTTCAATCACTTTTGGTGTTTTATTAAGGATTTAATGGTTAAGCTTATAGTTTAACATTTTTAATACAATTATTGAATACATATTAGGTTTACAAAATATACTAAACAACTTTACTCCACAGTCTTAACGGATGACTTAATGGAGCATAAAGTTAGGGCTTAAACAAAAATTATAAACTTTTAAATGTTTTAGGGTTAGGTTATTAACTGAACTCGTTAAGCTCCTTATAACTTTAAAATAACAGAAAATAGGTCCTTCGTAGCCCCACCACCTACTAGTGGGCTGATGGTGGTGGTGTGGTGGTCAAACCACCATAAACAAAAGTAGGTTGCTGATTTTTGGTTTAACATACAAAGAAGTATTATTATTTTTATGCAATTTATTTTTGGCTTGAGACTTGCAATGACAAGTAACCCACAATTACTCACTTATGGTGGTTGTGGTGGCTAGTGGCGTCAACCACTAGCGGCAGGAGGCTGTAGTGGTGGTTTTACTGTGGTTAAGGGTAGCAACCCTCATATTCTTCACAAAAATACTAGGAACACACAGGCAGTAGGCTGGGATCACCACCAAGTACATGAACATATAACACAACCACCTTACGGTGGTGTGTGGCGGCAGAAAATCACGCCAACAACCTAGGCTGCCGGCCATGGTGGTGATTGTCAGGGAAAAGAAACGACATAGGATAGAAGGATGAGCATGAGGGTATTACCTAGGACGTGATCATGGTTGGAACGTACCGTCGATGCTATGGGTTTATATGACATTTTCATTTTTGACCCTACACTATCCCATAATGATGACTCCTACCCTCTATATGAAAATCTTAACAAAGGAAGATTTGGTTCTTGACACTTTTAGCCCCAAATTCTTCATTATTTTTCATTATTAATTCTTGGATTTTATTTCATATTTTATATATATATATATATATATATATATATATATATATATATATATATATATATATATTAATAAATTGTTCCCTTTAGAATAGTAACTGACCCCATGTACTGTTCATCGGGTTATCTAACTTATCATGGTCACCGCATCCTTTCCCCACCGCCTCTATATATTCCCATTCAAACTCGCCATTGTTTCACTAGCCACTTCACCGTTCTTTATCCTTACCCCTAATTCCCTTTATGCTTTACTTCTCGCCTTCATTCCACCATCGACATCTTTGAATTGCTTCTCTCTTTTACATACCTCTTCATCATCAGCGTTTGCCAGCACCGAAGAAGGATATGTTGTGGCGTACAAGTTGTCGACTTTGTTCCCACTCAAAAAAGAGGGGGTTTGCTCCGTCGGGATTTCTAAAAATCCTACACCACCAACTCTACCACGTCATTCACCGGAACCCCACACAGGTACTCTTTTACATATTATTTATGCTCAAATCTCAATATTTCTCCAAATCCTACTGATTTACTATTTTTTTTCACTTTGATTTGATAAATCCTTTACATCTCCTTCAAGACGATATCAGTATTGGGTTTCTTCATTTTCTCTTCAGTTGCTGTTTTTTTTCGGATATCACTTACGATTCTACAGACATAGACTTATATGATGCCTTGTGAGACTCAAATTTTCGTCATTTTCTCTTCAATTGCCCTTCTTCTTCAGCATTTGTAAGATTAGAGGATTCTTTTACTCTTTACACAGTTGTGAAAGGTATTAATTCCTCTTTGACTCTTCAGATTCTTCATGTACATTACTCAAATGGTGTTTGTTTGTTCTCTTAATACCAAACTTCGAAAAAGCAAATAATGACTTCATTTCCCCAGGACCAACAACAGCAGGTCATCACTATTAAGTAATTGGGGTGTGTCGGTATCAAAGTACACATATCATCTTCTTAGGATCCCATATTAGGTAAATTTATTGTTCATTTTCTTATTTTATCAAATTTTGTGGCTTAGCTTTTTCAGATTACAAATATATTTCCATATACACATTCAACTCATTGAATTTTTTGGTTGTTTCTTGTTTTTGTTCAATCACTCATATTTGGATTATATTTTGGTATTTGTTTATTTTGTTCATTTTTCAATATGATAACGTTTACTGTTGTAGACGCTCTTTCAAGTCATGAATTTGAGATGGAGTTTTCATAAACATGATTAAACAAATTAGGAATATTTTTTCTTAACCAGATTTATATTTTAGGAGGCTTATATAAATTTAGATTTTTTAGTCCTTTTGTGTAGAAGTTGTGTTCACCTTTGAGAAAATTTAAAGTGACATAAATGTCCTTTGTGTAAAATATTCTAAGGATATTACAGTCAAATCACTATGTTTAATGGATATTGACACTACAAGAAAAAGACCCTTTTACGACATGCAAACCACGACACTCAGTGATTTATGTTACGCAAAGGAGAGTGGCATTAAAAGAGTGTCGTCTATTCAAAAAATTTAAGGATTTAGGTCACGCATTATTGCGTGCCCTAAAATAGTGTCTCATGTAAAAAAATTAATATCGAGTTCGAAATTTTCACTCAAGGAAGTAATGGAAGCGGAAGATGATGAAGGGCCTTCAATGGTGCTTTGTTTATTACACTATGGTAGCGGAGATGACGGTGTTGTTGATAGCCCTAAACAATAGGCATCTTAAAAGAAATTATCAAAGAGAAAGGTACGTATCAGTTCTAGAGTTCTTATATAAAATTAGGTCATATGTACCCTTCTTATATAAAATTAATGAAATCGATTTTAAAAGCAAGCCATAATATCGATTTTGAAATCGAGCCCCAGATTTCGGAATATAGCCCTGCCTGCTACCATTAAAATTCACCCCTGCTTCTGATTTTTTAGCTTCCTGGTCAGGCCGACTTATAGAATTATTCCCCACAAACCCTTTGACTTCCGAAACATCACCCCCATCCTTGTTCTTTCCCATAACCTTGTTACTTTTCCAACTTTTCCCCTGTTCAATCTTTGAATCATTAGACTTTCCTTTCATTGGCTGAATATTCCCATAATACCCCTGCCCATTTTTACCTCCTGTCTTCCCACCTCTATCAAAACTAAATGCCAATTTTTCCTGATTATTCCCATTATACCCCTGATAGCGAATTCCAGCAGAAGCCCCAGAATTTCCAATTTTTGGATAATTCCCTTTTTGCCCCTACTTGAGGTTTCCAGCAAAAACCCCTGAACCTTCATTTTTCGAGAAATTCCCTTGATGCCCCTGAATCGAAAACTGTTTTTCCCCCCTGTAGCTTCTTTTGAAAAAAAAATTCCATTATTTCCTTTGGTTTTCTTCACCACATCAACAAACCCATCATTTTGTTCCTTAACTTCTTTAGTGCTGGCAAGAAGCACTTGCATAAGATCCACAATAGCTCCTTCTTTTCCTTTCTCTATTTTACTTCTCTCCTCTTCTTCTTTCATCTGAATAGCAGTAACATCAATCGAGATTAGTGGGAATTGGTTTTTATTTTTTATAGTTGATACTTGAGAAAACCTTATATGTTTTTTTTTATTTTGTGAAAATTAATTCCAGGTGAAAACAGAAAATGGTATGTTGTGTTAGAAAATGACAATCATACCCTTGGTCACAGTAGTCTCATATCATTATTTCCATTCTCACCTTCACTCCAATGCCCATTATTAGAAGAAATCAATGAGCTCCTAGCCACCTACTGCTGCTGGAAGTCGGTCTGATAATGAGATGAAAGATGATTGTTGCCAACCATCCTTGAAGGATTTGCAGCATAAAGTTTCTCTTGGTCATGCCATACACTGTTATATAGTTCATGGTTCTACATAAAGTGAAAACTTTTGCTTCTAGGTCATCCAAATGTACAATGTGATTTTTCATAACATCAGGTACAAATGTAGATTTTTCATAACAACAGTGAAAATCTTAATCAGGTTAATGTGTGTTTCATAACATCAGGCACAAATTTACAATGTGATTTTTTTTATTCAATTACAGGGTAATCTTATTTCGGGAGGCCATAAAGTTCTTATCTTTTCCCAGAGTTGCATAATGCTTGATATTATTCAGGTTTGTTTCAATGCCTAACTAAATTGGCTATGTTTCTTGTTCCTTTTCTTAACCAAAGTTTATCAACTTTGTGAATATTATTCTGACTTGTTTTGATATTTATTTTTTATATTTTGTTCTTAATGTTGGTTCTAACTTCTATTTTTTTTCTTTTTTTTAAACAGTTACAAGGGACCTGAATAGGGGTTTTCTGAATTTGTAGTGATGGCTGCAGACACTGAAGATTTTGAAATGATTTCCCATATTCCATTCCTTACTAAATATAAGGTATGTTTCCCATATCCCATATTCCATTCCTTACTAAATATAAGGTATGACACCTGAAATTGTACAAGGGAGGGGCCATGATAAGGCCGCTGATTGGTGGAGTGTTGGAATTTTAATGTATGAAATGCTTTCTGGAAAGGTTGGTGTGCTGTCACCCTTAATTACTTTTAATAAATCACTATTAAATTCCCATTACATTTAGCGTGAGGGTAATAATGTAATTTTTTTCGACATTGTATCTTTGCAGCCTTTGTCTAGAGGTGGAAACAGACAGAAGATTCAGGAGAAAATACTGAAGGACAAGATAAAGCTTCTAGGATTCTTGTCAAGTGAAGCACATTCGCTTTTGAAAGGGGCAATGTTGTAATTTGTAATACTATATGCATGTGTTATAGTTGTTGGTTAATATTATATGCATGGGAATATAACAATTTCTGTTTTGAGCTTCTCACCTGATGGAGAGGTACAACCGTTCATGCTATTTTAATACATGATGAAACAGAAACACTACAAGTTTTTCAATTAATATATATATATATATATATATATATATATATATATATATATATATATATATATATATATATATATATATATATATATATATATGGTAGGGGTTGATAGCTTTCTCTTAGCTTGGTTGAATGATAAGATGGTGGTCATTGGGATCCATGTGATCAGAATTTCCCTGGTGCTCCAACATTTTTGCCAGGTAAATCCATCTGGCCAGACCTCTGCATTGCCTCCTACAAGGTCTGTTACTTGTTATTATGATTTATGATTCTGAGGGTATTTAGGTCATTTACTCAGAATTTTGCGTTTTCAACTTTACAAGTAGATCACACTTGCTTGGCTAAACGTTATTCTGTATGCTTTCAAACTTGTCTTCTTCCTGAATTCTTTTTCTTTGTAAGTTTAGCCTTATTCTTTTCTTCAATTAAGTGTTCTCTGGAGAGTGTTGTATGAACAACAATAAATCAACATTTTTTCCTTCTTTTTCTTGTATGAACAATACATAGTCATAGTTTGACTTAATTAGTTGCTTATTTTGTTTATTAGTTGCTTGTTTTCTAGCTTATTATAGTCACTGATTGGTTTCTTGTTATGCTTAAATCTTAACAGCTATCATGGCAACCTTCAACAATAGTTTTGGACCGGCACCTTCTTGCAAAAGATATCGTGTACGTGTTCTTCTGCTGCTATTGTGGATTCGGGAACATCCTTGCTTATTGGTCCAACTGTGTGTATCTCACGTGAAGCTTCTGTTAGAATTATTAATCTTAGAGATTTCAAGTTTTTCATATTTCTTGTATCTAATTAGTTTGTAAATTTCGGTTACAACTTTTATTGATTTGTTTTATCTTTCCATGGAACGATTATTTGTATGACATTATATTTTGTGCAATGGATTGTATTTTTGTATATGATATTTTATTTATTAAGAGACATTAAATGAAAATTTAATTTGAAAATTAATAAATCTATAAATAATATTTTTTTTAAACATATAAAATTATGATACGCAAAAATGTGTGTCATCTTCATTTATGACATGGCCTTTCTTGACAGGGGCGTTCTTGATACGCATTGCGTGTCATTAACACGCGCGTCGTAAGGTTACGACACGCGAATGCGTGTCGTCATCCTTTATGACAGGGCCTTCCTTGATACGCATTGCGTGACGTAAACACGCGTCGTAAATGAGCGTCGTAAATGCGCGTCGTCTCTCTTTATGACAGGGCCTTCCTTGACGCGCATTTGCGCGTCGTCTGAGCGTTTGAGCGTCGTAAAAGGCTATTTTTCTAGTAGTGTGATAAATGAATGTTGACATATTTTCAGGAATATGCTAGTTGTTTCAATGTGGAAAATGGGAATTTCAGTTGGGAAAGGCAATAAAAAAAGTACAGACCGCTTGCGGGTTATTGGTGACTACAAAGGATTCGTCACAGCATATTGAGTAAGTTAAATAGCTTGAATGATAAATGAGCAATTGGTTTTTTGAAATACTTCAAACAAAGTTTAAGTCCAAGGGTAAAATGGTGACTTTCAGATAGTTAAGAATTTCCTACGTCTGATACCGAATGCCATAATTGTTTCTAATTTCGTTTGATCAATAAGTTGTTACTGTATATAAAATCAAAGCACTCTTATCATTTCCATAATGAGACCCTTCTGATCTTTGATTTGGCCATCATTGTTAATATCACAAGTAATCAAAATATCATTCATTTTAATCTTTTTTGGAATCAAACATGTATTGTTAGAGACAATGGAGAGTAGTCGATTTGGTCAAAATGATGAGAATGAAGTTGTTAACTTCCCATTGGTAATCTTCGGTGTATTCCAAGTTTTGTTTAGTCATTCTTTCCATTATTTTACTATTGATTTAACAACACCTGCACTTGTACCAGTTACACTATTGTCAAGCATATTCATTCTTCTTTTACTTTATAACCGAAGTAATGACATTTATATCTCAAGATTTGATATTTTTGGAAAGTTTTTTTTTTTAAATTGTTTTTATAGTACAAGTGAATTCAAATTGGCAATAAAAGTGAAGTCATGTATGTAAACCGTTGACTTTGAGTTTTTAGTTGATCGAAAATCAAGAAAGTGATTTTATTTTTTATTTTTTATCTGATATGGCCAAAAACATCTCATACCCAAAAAAAAATTGATGCAGATAAATATGGTACTCTTAAAGACCTATTTGAAGTGATAAACTCGCAAGTTTTTTTTTTTTTTTTTTTTTTTTTTTTTTTTTTTTTTTTTGTAGTTTTTATTCGTCAAATTGATGGTTTGAGGGTTCGATTACATTAACTTATTGAGCTTAATGTACATGTTATTGCCTTTCTGATTTTTGTTTCACTTTTTTAACAAAGGAAAATGGTGACCTACCAACACAGTAATCAAATGTAACCTCTGTGGCTACCACTTATTATCAACTAGAAAAAACCAATGCAACTACAAAAGATGTTGATAAAGAAAAGAATATATCTAAGCCAGATTGCCACAACAACAAGACCCAAACCCAAATACAGGTTAGCTTCTCTTAACACTTGTAATTTGATAGATAACTCCAAAAAAAAATTTGTTTCTATTTTTCAACTATACAAAAAAGGAATCTGTGCTTTTCTTTTGGAAGTAGAAATGTATTTTTATCACAATCACACCATAAAGCCACCATGAAAGATGATTATAAAACTTCAATATTCATTTTAGATAACAGAATTATCAATTATTAAAGGGTAATACTAATACTAATAGTCTTCTTTTTTCCACTTCAAGTGGGGAAAGCTACCTGCCAATCTGCTCTTCAGGGAGTATCAAAAAGGGCATTTCTGTTTTTTCATAAAATAGAGATTTGGAAAAAAAAAAAAAAAGGGTACAAACAAATTTCTCTAATTTTTTTTTTCCCGGAAGCAGAGGATATTCATGTTTGTATGAGCCTTTGTGGTGGATTTGAATGATAACAAGTGAGTTTCTTATTTCATGCTGTTTAGTGGTATCTTATTATGGTTTACTTGTCCATGTTAGCAGTGTCACCCGTTGGTGGGGGCATTTACCCTTTATATAGTGGTTGTTGGAGAGGTTAATTTTGCAAAACAAACTACATATTTTTGTAGTTTTTCATTATGCTCTATGCGTTGTGTAATCCACTGTACATACCCCTCTGATTAGTTTTAGCCTATTTCTTACTTTAATTTTTCTGTTTGTCACCAACTTCATAATCGACTGGTTAGTCACCTCTTATACCTTGCTTACATTTGTCGAGGCTAGCTCACATTGCACCCATTCTAAACAGAAATACCCTTTAATAAATTTGTATGTATTATACGACAGGGAAACAAGTGGAGGAATGGAAATCATTTTTTTTTGATGTTATTCATGTCAAAGGACAAGATATATAGTAATCAAATTAAGAAATAACAATGTAAAACCAAATTGCATGACACCTTCCAACCCCCAATAGGGGGACACCTTTCTAGTTATTATTATTATTATTATTATTATTGTTATTATTATTATTATTATTTTATTATTATTTTATTATTATTATTATTATTATTATTATTATTATTATTATTTATTTTCTTTATTTATTATTTAACCA